GGATTCTAGTGTATAAAACCCTTTGGGCTAGGTTCGTGGATCAGCATGAGCTGCATTAGCTCAACTGTGGCACTCGTGTATGGACACCCACATCGTGGTCCCACCTGAAGCCCTGGCAGTTGTGAGGTGAGTAAGCGAGCACTACCACCTCTGACGGAACTACCTGTGCATCTACCCTGACTCTCTTGGGCCTCCTGAGGTACTGTCTTGGAGTCGTGGTAAAACACCTTGATCAAAGTCAACCTGGGGAGGAAAGGGTTTCTTTCAGCTTACAGTTTCACTTCCTGGTCCATCATTGAGGGAAGGGAGGGCAGGAACTTCAACGGGACAGGAATCTGGAAGCAGGAGCCAATGTGAGGTCATGGGGGAAGGCTGCTTACTGGCGTGTTCCACATCTTGCTCGGCCATCATTCTTCTCGCACCCACAACCACCAGCCCTGGGGAGGCACCGCCCGCAGTGATCTGGTCCTTCTCACACTGTCAATCAAGAAAATACACCACAGGCTTGCCCACAGGCCAATCTTGTGGGGGCATTTTCTCAATTGAGGTTCTTTCTTCCCAAATGACTCTGGCTTGTGTCAAGTTAACATAAAACTACCCAGCACAGTTTTCTAAATGGCCACCGAGCATCTTTGGGCTTACAGTCAGGAATGTGAAGTGGAACAATTTTTATCCACAGGGTCCTCTTTTTTTTTCCAGATAACCTCCTACCAGTCAGTAAAAGCTAGTCTTAGAGTTCAGAGAGTAAGACGAACAAAAGGAGGTTACCTTAGTCTTGCTGGGAGACTGAACTGAGCTAACCTGAGCTAACTTTCTTCAGGGCCCAGCTGGAACTTGGAGAATCTCTGACCAGGTGGCCCCTTTCCCAGGGCCTGGGTCTCCCCAGGACTTCTGCTTCTCAAAGAAGAGGCAGCCATCAAAGTGACCCTGTTCTCTCAGTTCTGCTCCAAGGGCCGCATCTGGAAGAGCAGACAGGCCAGATGTGCCTGCTCTGGGTCCCAGCAGCAGGTGCCATTGTTGGGGCTCAATATGCCTACAGAGGTCCCTGTGTAGGTGAAGTTAAGGCCCAGTAGGGCAGGGGGCAGAACAGTTCTTTTGGGGATCCCAATAGTCACCACTTCCTCCACCCACCAAAGGCTCCTATCTCATCTTGCTTTCCAGAAACAGTATCACTTGCTAGACGAGGTAGTTAAGTCTCTCTGTCCTTCCTGGAAGTCAGTGAGAAGCTGAGTTTTGTGAGTGTGCAGAGCAGATTCAGGTTAGTGCTGCCTGAGCCTTTTACCTAGTCACTGACCTTGTAGCTAAGTGTCTAGTGTCCATCTAGGCACTGGACCCCAAAGAGCTGATCTGCATTATTAGCTATAAATCTCAGGAGACCCTACAGGCCATGTAACTGAGAACACCGCAGATGAGGTTGTACAGCAAACTGGGAGAGAGAATGAGGCTACTCCAATGTCCATCTGACCATCAGAGATGGGTGGAGATGGATCTTGGGGTGCACCCTGCAGAGTTTAGCGCTAAGGTTCACCTCTCAGAGCAGGGGCAGAGGTTGCCAGTGCTGTCTCCACAGAGCTTTTCAGAAAGGCAGCAGCTCGATGAGCTCCTCTCCTAAGGGACGTGCAGGTCAGAGCCAGGACCTCCGTCTCCCAAGTCCTAATAGGTGTTAGGCTCCAGAAAGACAGCTCACACCCAAGTAGAAGGGCTAGAAAACACCCAACTTGAATGGTGCACACCAGGATAAGAGCAGTGGATTACCCTAATCAGCCTTCATGCTGGCCTGTAAGGTGGGAGCTGTGAGGCCCTCATTTTACAGATAAGAAACATGAACGCAACCTAAAGATATGGCAGGCACTGGGGAGAGCCTGGGGAAATGCCTAGGGCCTGGAAAGCACATGAGCAGGGCTGTGTGGTGCCAAGTGAGCGGGAGTGCAATGGCCTGGCTGGGCTCTAAATGCACAACTAGGGACCAGGGCTAACTCGTCTATTACTTGTTTTTGTGTATTATGACTGTTTTGCCTGCATCTTTGCTTATGTATCCAGTGCATGTCTGGCACCCATGAAGGCAAGAAGAGGGCATCAGATCCCCTAGGACTAGAGTTACAGATGATCGTTAGCTGCCATGTGGATGGTAGGAATTGAATTTGGATCCTCTGGGAGAATAGCTAATATGTTTAACCACTAAGCCATCTCTCCAGCCCTGGACAAGGGACCTAAAAGCAAGTTTTTTTGAGCTGAGTTACAGGGTCATCATGTAGACATTGAAGTGCTCTTCCAAATGGTCACAGAAAACGGGGTTCAGGCAAGTGCCACAATTGTCCAATCTGGAGGTGGCTGGAGCTTCAGTGGAGGCAAAAGGCATTCTGAATCAATTGACTCACAGACATTACTGAGAAGTCAAATGGGGATGAGGATGGTGTGGTCAGAACCATGATGTGCGTGTGTTCCATGGCTCTGATTGGCACCAGAGGAGCTTGGGACTGCTCTGAGCTGGAGAGTGGGGATTTGGAGACAGTGAGTCTAAGAGTAAAGGATACTCTTAGAACATCCTAGAGGCAGTATTGGGCATCCAGAGATCCAGATCCCATGGGAGAACAGCATCCAATTGGGAAGATGCTTCCCGGCCTTGGGGCTGGCAACAACAGTAACAACATCTGCCATGTATAAGTAGTGAGCACCGCAAACCTTTGGTCATAAGTCAGACAACAGCACATCAGGGATGCCTGCCTGGCCCCTGTTAGGATAAAGAGTGAGGCCTGACTGTCCAGAGTCACACAGCAAGTGTCCTTGCTGGGGTTTGTACCCAGTCCTCCAACATCTGGGCAGGAGAGAAAGTGAGCAGGCTACAGAGGCCACCTGCATCCCGGGGCCTTGCCTCACAGGTTTGGCAGCTGGTTAGAAGCCCAGAGCCAACATAGGTCCCTAGGCAAAGGGCAAAATGGCCAAAGCAAACAGCACCAGAATCTGGTGAGCTTTCTCTTGGTTACCCAGCTTTCACATCCCGCTGCAGAGGAACCAGACAAGAAGCCCTGGGTTTTGCGGAGGAGGCAGGACAAGTAACCGGTGCTGAAACAGGACTCCTGTACTCTGGATGTGAAGTGGGGCTGGCAGACATCATGCTCTGGCTCTTGACTGGCAGGTGAGTTAAGGTGGTAAGTCCCCATTGCCTTGGGAGGAAGAAGCATTTCAGGCCCCAAGGTCTCACTATGTTGGCCTGAAACTTGCTGCATAGCCCAGACTGAACTCGGATTCAGCAGAGGTCTGCTTGCTTCTGATTCTTGATTAATAGGACTAAAGGCACGTGCCACCATTCCTGGCAAAACTCTCCTTCGCTTTATCCCGGCCCCTTACAACTGTTTATTCCTTCAAACTAAGTGTCACATGATATTCAAGTACGTTTGTAAAAGTTAAAAGCAGCATTTTAATAACATAATGTTTAAAAATAAAAACAAAAAAAAACCCACAAATGCCTGCACCAGGGCCTAGGATGGGAATTGTTTTTTATTTTAAAGATGTATTTATTTTTATTTTGTATGTATGAGTGTTTTGCCTGTTTGTGTATCTGTGCACCACAGACATGCAGGACTATGGAGCCCAGACAGGAGGCTTCAGAGCTCCTGGAACTGGAGCTGTAGGCAGCTGGACATGGGCACTAGGATTCAAACTCCAGTCCTCTGCAAGAGCTGAAGTTACACTGTCTGAGGTGGGTGCTGGGAACCAAATCCGGGTCCTCTGGAAGAGCAGCCAGTGCTCTTGACGGCTGAGCCATCTCTCCAGCCCCAGGGATTAGAATCTTATGGTGGTCTAAGCTTCTACTTTCTTTCAATGTTTGATTTTCATCAGACAGGACCGAGGGACTCGACTCAGAGGTAAGTGGTTAGGAACAGTGGTGTGTTTCTCAACCTCCCTGACAGTCTCCGACTGCCACAGAAGGCTCATTTCAAGTTCAGGTCCTGGGGAAGATTCTGACATGTGATAATTGTGGGCTGTGCTTGTTTGAGTCTGTGATGTTTAGATATAATCATCATTATTAATTATTGTTGTGTGAGGAAGGGTGTGTGTGCCACGGTAGACTTGTAGAAATCAGAGTACAGTTTTGTGGAGCCCATTCTCTCCTTCCACCTTCACATGGGTTCCAGGGATTGAACTCAGGTCACCATGAGTGTTTTACTTGCTGAGCCATACCACTGTTCCTAAAATTGTATATTTATTTTTTTTAATTTATTTTAGTTAGCATACAAAGTAATGAGTTTTCATTGTTAGATTTTTGTATATGTATGTTTATACATTGTTTTTTTTTTCTTTTGTGGGGGGGCGTTACACGGTTTCTCCATGTAGCTCTGGCTATCCTGGAAATCGCTTTGTAGATCAGGTTGGCCTGGCACTCAGAGATCCACCTACCTCTGCCTCCTCCATGCTGACACTTAAGGCGGTGAGTCACCATGCCTGGCTACATTGTATCTTGTTTTTATTCATTCCCAACCCTCCCCCTCTTTTGTTTGTCCTTTTCCTCCCCAACGTTCCCCTCTCTTTTCCTGTCATATATAGTGTGTATTGGGCATAGATTCTGCGTAAGAGAAAACATTTGATATTTTGCCTTGCCCCTCATTACCCTCTTCTTCCCCTTACATAGTCCCTCTTCTGTGTCCTTCTGTGCTGTGCTCTGTGTGTGTGTGTGTGTGTGTGTGTGTATGCGTATTCTGCTTATGAGAAAAAAAAAAAACACTGGACATGTGTCTGAGTCTGGTTTATTTCCTTAGCATGGTGACCTTTGTTCTGTCCATTTCCCTACACTGTTTATTTTTCATTATGAAGAAAAGAAAAGGAGGGTGAGAAAAAAGAGAAGAAAAGAGGGAGAAAGAAAAAGAGAAAGGAAAGAAAATTAGAAGAGGGTCAACAAGATGGGGATGCAGTTATTTGCTGCCTATGTTATCTGTGAAAGGAAAAAATGCATATGACATTCACATGAACATCATGGCATTCACATACGTGTGTGTGTACAAATACATCCACACAACAAATAAATGCTAAAACTTTTTACATTAGAAGGGAGGGAGAGAGGGAGAAGGAAGGAACTTGTGGGAGGGGCATGAGGCATCGATTTCTTTTCTGTACTGACTGTTATGTTCCTGAAGCCTCCAGACCATCCACTTCTCGAGTCCTGGAAGCATCTTCTCCCACCCAGCATCTGTCACAGCAGCTGCATCTGGGGCACGTGTTTCTGAAAGGTCGCTGGAGTACACAGCCCCGACCTGGCTGTGCAGTACACGTGCCAGGTCCACGATCTCTGGTTCTGAGGCAGTGAAAAGAAGGCCCAAACAGTAGGTGTGGTCTAGGGACTTCCCCAGGCTTGATTGTGTCTTTAAGGTGGGCAGACTGGGGGACCCAGAGCCCCACAAAGTCTCAGGTTTCTCTGGTTCTGGGTACCTTCATTTCTGGGAACTGGCTGTGCTTTGGAAAGAGAGAAATGAGAAGCAAACCCTTCTGGGCCCCAGCATTACCCCCCCTTTTCAATCTTCTTCCGCTGAGTCACAGTCAAGAGCCAGGCATCTCAGCCTCCCTAGGGCCACTGGCTCGGGCAGAATTCAGGGTCAGGTGAGGACATAGCATCTGAGACAAGCTCTCTTTCCTGCCAGCATCCTCTGTGAGTGGCTCTGGGGCAGCTGAGGGATGAGACCACCTCAACTTAGGGGAGGGGGAGCTGAGATGCTTTATGTCCTGTCTGTTCTGTTTCCTTGTCACATGTTTGCCCCCAGGATTTTACTAAGTGTCAACTGTGTGTGCTGGATACAGGAAGGTAGTGGCCCTTAGGTTCCTTGTCTTTAGAGAGCTCATGGATGGAGACACAGATGGGTCTTTAGGATTTCTTTTGTCAGCAATGGGGACCCACACAGGTTTTACCCTCCAGGGAGAGTTGGCCATATGCCATTTTATAATGCTTATCAGAAAACTACATATATACCTCTGCACAGGAATGTACATGCACATGCATAAGCATGGGTGTGGCACTTGAACGTCAGCTGGAATTCATGATCATAGGTGTCCTTAGAGAACCTCTGTCGGGTGGAAACTGGGTCAGGCTGTGTGTGTGTGTGTGTGTGTGTGTGTGTGTGTGTGTGTGCGTGCGCACTCGCACGCGCTCGTGTTATCCTGTCTCAGAGGCCCAACCACTATTTCTGTGTTATGGTAGCCCTGGAAGCCCCAGCACATCACCTCCTTTCATGAAAAAGAAAGTTGAAACTGAGAGTCAGTCCCCTTTCTTGGCTTGCCTGGTGTCACACAGTGTTTTGGGGGGATAGGTCTGGGAGGGTGACTACTCAGATCTCTAACACTTTTGGAGCCCAGCTGAGGACCAACCTCAGATCCTTCGAAGCTTCAGCGGCTTCTCCAGGATTTCCTGCTCTCTGCACCTTTGCTATGACTGCCCTGGCTAGTGGCCTGCATCCGTCCTCTCTCCTGAGTGAACCGGCCTCCCATTCTGTTGAAATGCTCCCCACCTTGCTCATCCTCTGGGATGTTCCTGTGACTCAAGACTCCTTCCTTCTAGCCTTTGTCCCCTTTATGTCCACCCACTAAGACTAAAATTGGCCCATGTACCACTTTTTCCTGTCCTTTATATAAGAATTGTGTTGGGCTGGGGTAGATAGCTCAGTGAGCAAAAATGCTGGCCATGCAGGCGTGAGGATTGGATCCATATAAAAGTCAAGCGTGGCTGTGCCCGTTTATAATCCCAATGACTGGGGAGGTGGAGACAGGAAGATTCCTGGAACTCACTGGTCAGCTAGTCTAGCCTACTTGATGAGTTCCAGACCAGTGAGAGACGCTAATTCAAGGAGGAGAGTGCCTGAGGAACGGCTCCCAAAGTGGACTCTGGTCTCCACATGCATGCTTACACACACACATGCTCACGCATGTGCATGTGCACACACACTAGTACGATGAAAGCTGAGCTTTTTATCCACTGTGTAAGCAAATGAGTTAGCCTACCATGTTCTCAGAGATGCTGGCAGGAGGCATAAAGCTTCTGGTTTGGAAACAAAAGAGGGATCACCTCTATTTTCCTGGGAACAAGGGCTATCGGTGCTCACTGACCCGACAAAGGTACAGAGGTGGACAAGAACTGTGGAGCTTAGTCTTCCAACTTCCTGCTGGGGCTCCTTAGCATCACTTCCAAAAAAGCTACATGCTTTAGGGTTCTTGTCTCAGTGTGCTGGGGGAATGCAGGGAAGACATGCCTAGGAGGAGGCTTTGCCTCCCAGCCACTGTTCTGTGTCCCCAGGAGGGGCTGCAGAGGACATTTTAAACAGTGTTTCATTTTAATTTTGAAATATTTGATCTGTCTAAGAATTTATGGTGAGGGGGGCATTGAATTTTTTCCCAAAATTATTCTGGTATTACTTGTTGGAAATTACATCTGGTCGGTTACCATTCTCTCCTAACATGCCTGAAATCTATTGTTTGAAGTACAGTCAAAATCTATAAAAATAGATTTCTGATAGATTTACAAATATTTCAGGGGCATCACCAATACCAGGGACTCGGTGCCCTGTGCCTGGTGCAGAGACGAGTCCATAATCCACTCCTATGGTAACAGTTTGAACCTCAGGGAAACACAGGCAGGGTCTGCTCTGAGACAGCAGAAACTCCCCTGCAGCTGTCATGGAGGGTTTGAACTGCATTCTGAGAAGATTCCTTTCTATGAAAAACATTTAACACGACTTAATAAAAACTTCAGGACTAAGGGTGGGCCTCACTGGTAGAGCACTGGCCTGGAATATAGGAGACCCTGGGTTCAGTCTCTAAAAAAAAAAAAAAGAAAGGAAGGAAGGAAGGAAGGGAAAAAATTAAATAAGAAAACAAAATTTTAACTTAGTTTAAAATTAATTGAAATTTAATTTTTATGTTTATCCTATCATTTGACATTATTATGTAACATGTAATTTATTGCTTCAGTTTTTGTTGCTGCCATTGCTGTGTTTTTGAGATAGCAACAGTATGCCAGGCTTCCTGGAACTCACTCTATAGCCCAGGCTGGCCTTTGTACTCATGGTAATCCTCTCGCCTCAGCCTCCCAAGTTGTTTCCTTTTAATTAACTAATTATTAATTTCACATGTTTTCACACGTGTGCGTGAGTCCGCATGTGGGTGGATATCCATGCATATGGATGCCAGTGCCTGTGGGGGCACTGAGGCCAACATCAGGGGTCTTCACTGGTTTCTCTGCCTTGTTCTTTGAGGCTCTGAGACTCTCCTGTCTCTACCCTCCTAACACGGGACTCACAGGCAGGTCACTTCGCCCCGTGGGCACGTCAGTGGGTTCTGAGCTCATGGAACTGCAGTCTTAGGTACTTTCCCTGCTGAGTCACCATCCCAACCTGTTACTTCACTTCTAATAACCTTTTTTAAAAAAAGCAAAGCTATTTATGCGTATGTGTGTGAGTGCCTGTGGGCATCTGTGGGCACTATGTGTGCTCCACGGAGGCCAGAAGAGGGTACCCCTGGAACTGGAGTTCCAAGTGGCTGTGAGTCTACATGTGGATACTGGGAACTGAGCCTGGGTCCTCTAAAGACCAGGACGTGCTCTTAACTGCTGAATCATCTTCCTAGCCTCAATGCCGTTTCTTTTAAAATTAATTTTTGGGGTTAGGGATGTAGCTCACTTGGTGGAATGTTTGTCAAGTATGTCTGTTTGATACCCAGGACTGTATAAAGCCATGCATGGTGGCACATGCCTATAACACTCCCAACATGCGGGAGATGGGGCAGGAGAATCAGAAGTTTAAGGCCCTGTCTAAATTAAACAAACAAACACATAAATTAATAAATAAATACTAAATATTGATCCTATGTTTAAAATACTTTTAATTTTGGTACTTTTCTTTTTCTTTTTTTTTAAAGTAAATTTTTATTTTTATATTATGTGCATTGGTATATGCCTGTGTGAAAGTGTCAGATCCCCTAGAACTGGATGGAGTTATAGACAGTTGGAGCTGCCATGTGAGTGCTGGGAGTTGAACCGGGTCCCCTGGAATAACAGCCAGTGCTCTTAACTGCTGAGCCATCTCTCCAGTACCTATAGTTTTCATTTAACCTAATTTTTTTCGGGGGGGGGGGTTGAGACAGGATTTCTCTGTAGCAGCTTTGGAGCCTGTCCTGGAACTAGTTCTTGTAGATCAGGCTGGCTTCAAACTCCCAGAGATCTGCCTGCCTCTGCCTCCTGCATGCTGGGATTAAAGGTGTGTGCTACCACCACCTGACTTTAACCTAACATTTTTATACTGTTTGGTTATATTATGGGTTGTTTGTTTGTCCATTTGTTTGTTTTGCTTTGTTTTTTTGAGACAGGGTTTCTCTGTGTAGCCCTGACTGTCCTGAAACTAACTCTGTAGACCAGCTGGCCCGAATTCATAGAGATCCGCCTGCCTCTGCCTCCTGAGTGCTGGGATTAAAGGTGTGCGCCACTATTGCCCAGTATATTATGTTTTTTAACCTTGTAAACCATCACTATCAAAAACAGTAATTACATGCAAATCTTATAATAACTGGTCTGTACATGATTATAATAACATGATCATGTTTTCTAGAATAAAAACAAGAACAACTACAGGGTAAATAGAGAATGCATTGTGAGTTAAGCAAATCTCTGTTTTCTTACTTAAACCTCAGACCTATCAGAGAACACCTAGACATGAATAATTATCATGAAGTTCAAAAATCATTGATATTGCCTGACTTTCATACTTATAAAAGCTGTCCATTGATAGATATTTTTATTGCTATGCAAACATGTTTGTTAAGTAAAAGGCTAGCACATTTATTTTTTTTCTTTTTTTTTCTTTTTTTCCTACCTTTTGCAAGGCTAGCACATTTATATTAGCAGTTTGTAGTTTATGATTTTTCAATATTTAGATTTGTATATTAGGACCGCTGCATGTCCCTTTGCCCAGAGCACAGCATATGCCAGGGCCTGTGGTAGAGAGGGAAGGACGGAGGTGTGTTTGCAAGTGCTTTGTGCTGCAAAGGGAACCCCAGCAAGTGCTCTTGGGTTCCTGATGAAGGGGAAGCTGAAGAGGTGGCACAGGGCCCAGAGAGCAGATCTCAGAGAAGAGTGAAGTGGTCCAATTTACAATTTATTTAGGGCACCTTACCGGGATTCCATAAGGCAGATGATGGCACTGCCCTCACTTTACGGGGTGGGAGTGGGGAGTTGGGGGACGGGGGAGACCGAGTTTCAGAGATGTCCAGACCTTTTGGTGATCTGGCCCTAGAATCACCTAGCAAGTCCAGCAGCTTTGCCAACTACATGGAGTGAACCTCAGGTCAGGTTCTCCACAGCAAGCTCTCTCTGGCCATGGCCAGCCTGGCCAGGGACAGGAAGCAGGGCTCCTGTCTGAGTGGCAGAGAATGTAGCACTCCTGCTTTTGTCTGCTGCGCTGGGAGTCCCAGCAGCTCCAAGGTGAGGGCACAGCAGGGAGGTGTGTCCTGGGTCACCCGCACTGCCTTTTTACAAGGGTTTGGGGATCTCTTCCTTATAGACCCCCTCATAGCTGCCCAGCCCCTGCCCTGGCCTTCAATCCCAGGATCAGCTCTGGGTGGGGGGCATGGTTTTCTCTGAAACATCGGACAGGTAGGTTACAGGTTGGTGCTGGAGGTGGGGAGGGAGAGCAATGTGTAGATATGAGTGGAGAGGCAGTTAGTTCCATGTTGGCAAATGAAAACAAAGGTACCAGAAAGCAGGTGCTGGCTCAAGGCTGCCCAGGGATGCCAGGAGAGCCCTGGATGGCTTGGCACTGAAGCTGGGGCTGCTCTAAGGTGCAGGGATCTGAAGATCAGAACAACGCCGACCTTGAGGCTTCCTCAGCAAGACCTGGCATTGCTGACCTCACCTTGAAGGCCTCCTTTCCCTTACATTCCTCTTTCCTCTGACCTGGCAGTGTGCTCATGTCAGACACCCTCCTTTTACCTGTGCACATGCACCCCCTTTTTCTGCTGTCCACGCCTATCTCTAGTTGTTCACTGTGCTCCAGGTTGAGCACTAGATACCCTAGAGGTCACACCAGACCTGAGCCTGCCCTAGGAGAGTCCTTAGTGTGATGACGGAGTTGAAGGGAATAATTTCAGTCAAGGAGGGCTTCCTGGAGGTGGGGACGTAAGCTGAAGCTTTGACTTTGACAGAGTGTCTCTTCCCCAGGCCACTGGATGTCCTCTGAGTCTTTCCCTTGAATGGCTGTCAGGTTCCAAGAAGTGTCCCCTGTCTCTGCATTGCTGGTTCCAAGAATCACAGCTCCTGGCAGCATTTGCCTGGCATTCTTTCTTAGAGCCTACTTAGGTTTCTAGAATCTGAGGACAGGGAGAGTTGGAGGTGGAGAACAGAAAGAGATAGATGACTCTCGACAGAGAAGACCCTCATGAGCTAGACATTGGGAGGTGGCCCTAGACTGTCAGGCAGGAGGGGATAAACACACTAAGGTTGGGCCTAGGAGGTCAATGAAGTGAACCGCCCTATCTCCTGGTCTGCTGTGTGCCCAGGCCTTGGAGTTCTCCCTACATAAAAGGAAAATGATTCCCTGGGGGGGGGTCTGTCACTTCCTCCAGCTTTCCATACTCCACTGACCATCCCACTAGCCTGGTCCCTACCATTCTTTCCCCCAGAAAATTGGCCCTCAGAGGAGGCCTTCATCAGAAAACATCCAGAGGGACAGGCCAGGGGACAGTATGGCAGGTTCTCAACAGTGAAGGAGATGGGAGCAGGAATTCTGGGGCCTGGAAAGAACATGACACCTTCACTATGATTCTTTTTATAATGTCTTTGTCTTCTTAGAACTGAGTAAGTCACCCCCCTCCAAGTCCCCCCAGCAAGTTGGGTGGTTGACTGGGGTCAGGGAGAGACAGGCCCTGATGGGTGTGCAGAAGCAGTTCAAATTCCCTCAAGGTCAGTTGGGCCTCTCCTTTGGGTGTCTTCCACCCACACCACCTCTGAGCTGGCACCGGGCCTGCCCACTCGCCTGGGACCTGCCCGAGCACATTGAGCAACCAGTTCCTGAGAAGCGTGGAAAGCTGTTTGGTTTAAAATTAACTCCCCCGCGCACCCTCCTGCCCGCCCTCCTCAGAGTTCTTGGAAGAGGCGCTCTGCTCTTCCTGGGAAGAGGCCTCTAGCCACAGCTGCTATGGTTCTGGCGAAAACACCTCACCCAGGGTGGGGGCGGAATTGCCCACACTGTGCCTTCTCTGCCCTCCACAGGTAACCGGCTGAGACCCAGGAGAGAAACTGGGGACAATCAAGTTGCTGGAAAGGGGGTGCTGGTGTCCCCAAAGTCCACATCTCCCAACCCTGATACTGACTGGCAGACTCCAAGTGAAAAGATATAGGACTGTGCAGACCCAGCCTGGCACCTTTTGGGTAGGCCACAGAGCAAATGGATCCCACAGACAATAAACCCAGAATTTTGTGATGAGAATGTGTATCTCATGAAATTAAAAACAGCCTGGTCAGAGCCACCCAGCTTCGCCTGTTAAAGCTAAGGCTACCCTCTCAATGCCAGACTGATGATGGCAAGATCCCAGGGGTGCAGGCACCCACGTGCCAGGGTTAACAGCACACCCTCCCAGGAGGTCTCTTCCTGCGGCCCCTCCATCTTTTCAGGCTACCATGGGAACCATCTTCGTCTGGATAGGACTTCATGTGTCTGAGCTTTGAGGAAATGTTTCCCGAGGACCTCTCTCTTCTGTAGCTCTTCCTACCAAACTGTCCCCTGAAAGGAGCCGAAGAAAACAAAGGAATGTTGGCCAAGGGAAAAGGTCAGCACACATGCGAGCACACACACACACACACACACACACACACATGAATGCACACACTGGTGTGCTCAGTGGGAAGGGCAAATGCTTCTTGGGAGAGGCTGAGAGCCAAGAGGCACTTAGAACATAGCCTTGGCCTAACACAGGCTGGAACTGAACTCCAGATCTCTGGTAGAAAGAGAGAGCCCACCTCTGGTGACAGGAAGTATTTGGTCTGGTTTATTGGTGCTAGTGCTGGGGAAAGTCCCCAGAGCAAGGTTCTGACTCTCACCCTGGAAAGCATGTGTTAGATGCCATGCCCCCTTCAACCATACCATCGGGATATCTCTGGGGACAATAAGTTCCTGTGTGGGTGGAAGAGTTCTGGAGGGCTTGTAGTAGCCCTAAGTCTTCCAAGCCTTCCTACTTGCTGTGCTCTGGACTCTGCTTGCTTTGACCAGGCTTGGGTCATGGAAACCATTGTCTTTCCACTGAGCAGACAGCTTTTGGCCTCCTTCTGCACTCAGCCCGCAGCATCTCCCGCCCAGAGATTAGTATCGGCTTCCATGTGCTTGGCTTTTCCCCAAAGTCAGGCCCAGTCACTCTCCACTTACCCTCTGGTCTGCTGTCTGGCCAGAATTAACCCTCCAGGGACCTCCTCTAGCTTGTGTCCCAGACACGGATCCCAATCCAGCTGCCCTACAGTGACCACTGGGGTGCCCCCCAGTTGGCTGGCTGTACTTCCCCACTGAGCCAGAGAGAGAGGTGGGGAGGCCAAGTGCAACCCTGCTCTAGATTAAAACTGGTCTAACAGGTTGGTGTGAAAAGGGCTGCTCTGGCCTGCCCAGGCTCCTTTGTAAAGGAAGATGTCCTCAGCAACCAAAGAACCAGAAGCCTGACACGCAGACCCTTGGTGCTGGATAGCACTTGATTTCCTGCCCCAGACCCCTGAAGTCACTGCACCTCAGACACCTAGGGTGGGAGGGTTTCCATCTGAGAGTGGAGATAGCCCATCATGGCTTCAATTCCATTCTAGCAGGATCTGCTCAGACAGCAAGTTAAATGCTGAACTTAGGTTCAGGGGTCCTTGGGACCAAGGAAATGCTGGGTGACTCAGTAATCTTGAATGAAACATCTTAGCAAGACATTAGCCAGTTAGATCTGCTGACAAGAAATATCTGGTTTGCTTTGTGGTACCTGCCCCCAACTATTCCAGAGGCACTGAGTCCAGAGAGGGATACCACATAGGCCGGCTCTCCAAACCCATCTTCCTTTGTCAGGGCAGAATCTTCCTGGGCCTAGCTCCAGCACTGCCCTCCACCCCTCCAGCCAAGCCCTGCTGAATGTCTTTACTCTTCAGAGTTCAAGGCTTTGGCAGGCGAGTCTTCAGAGACAGGGTAGAATAGTAGCTACACGAATAAGGCCTAGAGTCAAGGCTTGTGGCCCTGAGCTAGCCATACTTCTCTCTAAGCCAGCGGTCCTCAACCTTCCTCAAGCTGCCACCCTTCATACAGTTCCTCACATCGTGATGACCCCCAACCTTACAATTATGTTCTCTGCTACTTTATAACTGTAATTCTGCTACTGTTACGAATCATAATGTAAATATCTTTGTTTTCTGGTCATCTTAGGCGACCCCTGTGAAAGGGTCGTAACTCACTGGTTAGGAACGGCTGCTGTAAGCCGTACTCCTCCAGCCGGAAACAGGGACAACCTCTGTGAGTGTGCAGGGCAGGAGTGAGAATTAATGGGGATGCCAGGCAGTGGTGGTGCACGCCTTTAATCCCAGCACTCAGGAGGCAGAGGCAGGCGGATCTCTGTGAGTTTGAGGCCAGCCTGGTCTACAAGAGCTAGTTCCAGGATAGGCTCCAAAGCTACAGAGAAACCCTGTCTTGAAAAAACCGAAAAAAAAAAATGGGGAATGAGCCACATCCAAAGTTGCCACCCTGCCACCCTTGCCTCCTCTGCTTTCCTATGGCGTCCCCTGTGGATCTTCTCACTGGCTACCATGGAGCCATCCACCTAGAGTCCTTTAGGAACGAGCATCAGAGCTCAATACAGCCTGCTAGACCCCGAGGTGGTCGCTTTGCCCTTCTTGCTCCATGCTGGATTCTAGACTTGTTTCTGCCTTAGAGCCATTGTGCTGCTTGTTCCCAGGATTTGGTACAGCCCTTGCCCACGACATCTACAGGACCACCCCCTGCTCTTCACTCTGGTAGCCAGGTTCACTGCCGTGCTACTCAGACATGACCCAGACCCCCTTTGCTGTGGGGTGACCCCACACCTACAGCCGTTCTCTGCCCCCACCTCCTGCCGTGTCACCCAGTCAAAACTTGCCCAATTGTTCCTTGTTTACAGCCTCTCTTGCACTACTGACAAAGCCCCAGGAGGACGGAGGTCACATCTGTCTCGTTCCCTGCTCTGTCCCGGGGCCTTGATGGAGTCTGGCTCAGTGACCAAAGAGCATATGTGAAGGGACCCAGTCAATAAAGGGTTACTGTTAATTACTATTTGGATATTGCGCAGGGTCCAGCATGCCCACCTCATGGCTCACCCTTCCCCACTAGCTAGTGCCAACAGGGTTGCCCTTTAGAGTAACCCAGGACCATCAAAGGGTGATTACACTGGCCAGCTGCTTTTCCCTTTCTGTTAGGCTTGGGCTGTTGACTTGGGTCTGGGGTCCAGTGGCATGTTTTCTGCTGTCCCTATGCCCAGGCAGGTGTTGCTGTTCCTCTCATATAAAGACTGAAATGTCAGCCGCTGGCAGCCCCTTCTCAAGAAAGAGATAGACTCTGGCTTGAGGTGAGCCAGGCGTGGCCAACTGCCAGGACGGCTCCAGTGCTTTCAGCAGGCAGAGACGGGTGGAGAGAAACCACTGTCCAGGCTGCCGCCCGGTTGCCTAGTCTCATCTCACAGAGCCGCAGGGGGCAGAGGCGCAGTTAGGCGGGCGTTGTTCTGTACTGAGCTCTCTCTCTGTGCGGCCTCAACCAGCCCCTGCTCCTGGTATTTGAATCCAGAGTAGCGCTTGGACCCCACTCCCAGGGAGTAGAGTCCTCACGCATACTTGCACCTGGCAGGCATTCTTAGGCAGTCCCTAGTGTGAAGAATGGGGTTCTCCCTGCTTCCTCTTATTCTAGCAGCCGAATGTCCAGGTTGAAGCACCAGACGTGGAAAGCCTAACTCTGGCCCCTATGTGCCCACTACTTTCCCACTAAATGACTCAGATCTGGGGGCGTGGAGGGCAACAGGGATGACCTCACACATTTTCAGAATGAAAAAAAGGCTAAGATCAAAGTTGAAGAAAAGGCGCTACCAGGGCCATGGTGACACTTGGAAGAGGTGCACTGTTGTCCCCCACAGTCAGCAAAAGTTTTATCATCAGCAACAGAGAAGGTGTCAGACCAAAGAGATGGACTTGGGCACTACCACCAGCTTTTAAAAATATCGTCCCTCCTTCATCTACCTCTTCTTCATTCTAGTCCAATGTCATTCCTTTAAAAAAGTATTATTTCTTATGTGTGTGTTTCTGGGTGTGTATATAGGTGCACAGAGGCCAGAAGATGGCATCAGTTCCATTGGAGCTGGAAGCTCTGGGCCTTTGAAAGAGTAGCGAACATTGTTGACCCCTGAGCCATCTTCCCAGCCACCACAATGTCATTCCTCTTCTTGGTCATGACTCCTTGTCCTCAGTCCTGGGCCTCCCTGATTCTGTTTTTTTCTTTTCGTCGTCTATATCAAGATGCTGTTTCTCATAGCTTTCTACTCACGCTCCACCATTACTGGCCTCCTGTAATTTGCAGCTTCTAATGGTCTCAGGACTAAGAACACATCCCAAATCGTTTCCAAAATAAGGCTTAGAAGGCCATGAGCCCAGTTGGGAGACGCTTTCCTGGGAGGCCCTCACACACCAGAGACAAGATCAGGCGTAGCAGGATCCCAGCAGTCTAAATATTCCCGAGTCAGACCATCAACCCGGGACAGCGTTTCCATCTTAATTATATTTCTCATGTACTAGATCTTGACTCAAAGGAGAGGGTCCTCTGACCCCAAACAGCCTGAGCAAGAATTCTGACACCCTTCCCCCAGACCAGACTCTGCCAGCTCATTGAGCACTACCTGTGTCAGCTGATCTGCCCCACTCCCTGGGAAACCTCTCTCAGGCATCAAGTCAGGGATCCTCATACCTTGTGCCTCTGTTTCCACTCTGCTTTCTCCTTGCAAGGACTGGCGGCCTGAGCTCTGTGACTCCTTCTTCTCAAGTTACCGCCCTCCCTCCGTGCCCACTTACACACTGAATGGATACTTCCTCTTCATACACCTCTTGGGCTTGGAGCTCTTCTGCAACCCACTTCCCACATAACCAGCAGGGCAGTGGATAGCACCCTAGAAGGCATGCCGGCAGACCTTCACCTCCTGTCTCTCATTTCCCAAGGGGAACAAGGGGGAAGGCAACAAGAAAGGCAGCTCCCTGTTACATGCATCCCCAGGCCCCTGACAGAGACTGCTCAGTCCTGTAAGGTTCTGAGCTTCAGCTTTTCCCCATGTGGAACGGGATCGCAATAACAGGAAGAAAGAGAGACAAACTCCCTGCAACACCAGATGACCCGCAGAAGGCTTCGTAAATGGAAGGCATAATTTTATTATCGATACAGAAAAATCAGTGGAAGAGAAACTACCAAACTGGTTTTTGTGCTATAATAATTGTTTTATAAAGTCTCGTTAGGTATGCATTTCTCCCTCTCTCACATGTGGGCAACTTCCTGGGCAGGAAGCAGACGCTGAAGAGCTGCAGCAGCAGCCCTAGCCAGCATCCCCTTCCTGACCCAGAGCGTGCCCTCTGCAGGGGCTGCACCACAGAGAAGCCAGCTCTGTGAAGCCATGGCATTGCCCCCAGAGGAGATGAGTGTGAGCTCCGTGTTTCTGGCTCCCGTTTGTCTGGTTACCCAGCCTCCCGAAGAGGCTAGGGGAAAAAGGGAGTGGGCACATTCATATGCAGGTGGTCAGGGCCAGGGCATTCAGGACTACTTTGGGCCCAACAAGACATCCGTGGATGGGGTTCTCCACAGGGAAGAACCAGGGCTGGGGATCTTTGGCTGACTCGGGCCTTAGGGCAGAGAAATGGGATGGCTCACGCCATTAATCCACCCCCAATCCCCACAAGGAAAATAAATAAATAAATACTGTTTAACTTTGTAGCCCCCTCCCCACCAGCCTGGCCTACTTCCCCATGAGGGGCTGGTACCATCAACCTCAGTTCCTCTGGCTGATACTCTCCCAGAAACAGATTGGCTGCTCTCCAGATGGGTAGGGAGCCTGCCCTACCCAGCAGATGGTGAAACCAGGGCTGGGAGAATACACAGAGTTCAGGTGGTTAGGGCACACTAGTGAATAGAGGCCTGGGTCCAGCCTCCAGGGTGAGATGAGGTCCTGCCTGTCTCTCTCTGCTCTGACACATGGCTCACCACAAACAGCCACATGGGACCCGGAGGCACTGACCTCAGAGTTGTGTGACAACCCCTCTTCCACCTGCCTTGTTCTTGCTGGCGCTTTCTGATCCAGCTCTATGTATGCAGGCACCAGGGTGACCGAAGAAGGGACAGCAGGAACCCAGGTCCAGCTGGGGCTTGTGTCCCCTCCAGGCTATAATTATGTGAGGCAGAGCAGGGTGCCTGGCCCCATCAGAGTTGGAAGGGGTACTGTCGGAGGTAGTCGGCCATGCGCCGGGGCAGCGGCAGGCAGTCCACATCGGCCACCAGACGGTTGATGACTAGGCGACACAGATGTTGTAAGCTGCGGGCACTGCTCCTGCGCACAAAGGGCTGCACCAGTTTTAGATGCACAGCGGTAGCCGTGGGGAGAGGCAGGGTTGAGTCACCAGGTGCATCTTGTTTAGGTGCAGGCAGGGCTGGGGTAGGAATAGGATCCGGGCTGTCACTCCGGGTGTCAGTAGCACAGGAGGCCACATAGTGCTGCACAAGGCTGACCACATCTGGGAAGGCCAAGATTCGAGGTCTGGATAAGCAGTTGGAGTCCAGTCGGAAGCTAGAATCAGCATACTCGATGCGTACATTGGTGGGGCCACGGGTAGTTTTGACTGACAGCGTGAACAGGTAGCTGGGGTGGGTACTATCTCGTACTAGGAATGTACCCTCTGGCATCTTCTGTAGGTGTTGTCGGGCCTCGCTGGCCGTAATGGAACCCCAATACCATCCTAGACAAACAGAGAGGAGACCAAGGGACTGATCAGAAATTACCTAAAGGTACCAACCCAGGGTAGGCCAAGATGGAGAGTCCCTTCACAGTTCCCTGGACAGGGATGTAGTTCTCCCATCAGACTTAGAGGCAGGGCCTTCCCAGATCAGAGTCAAAATTCCGAGAGCTTAGTTCCTCCATACACTTCCCAGAACAAGGTCTGTCTCTCCCCTGGGACTTACCAGATTCCCGAAGGTAGGAGAATGTCTTGGCTATACACAGCAGATCCTCCTCAGGGTCTAGCACCTTTGGTTCGCTCTCTGACTGGACAGGGGTCTCCTCTGCCACCTCCTCTGGGAATGCCCCAGTGGGCAAGGGCTGCATGGCTGACCCAGGCAGCTCCAGAGACTGGGCCCACAGAGGCCGCTGCCCAATTTGCTCCACAGCCAGCAAAGGACAAGATCTGAAGAGGGCAGACAGGCAACATATTCTTCATTTTTAAAAAATCCTTTGATTGCTTCCCCCAAATATATAGATTTAAAACAACAAAAACAAAAAACCGGTCTCACTATGTAGCTCTGGTTGGTCTGGAACTTGTTATATAGACCAGGGTGACCCCATATTCACAGAGATCCACCTGCTTCTGTCTCCCAAATGCTGGGATTAAAGGGGTGTGCTACCACATCCAGCTCGTGTATACAGGTCTTTCCTTCTTGTTTTTTGGAGTGCTGGGAATTGACCTCAGAGGCTTACACATGCTAAGTAAGTGCTCCACCACTGAACTATACATACCCATAACCCTGGTTTACTAGACCCCACTCTCAAAAGGTTCTTTACTACTCTCCTGCATTTACTGCATACAAACTAACCCTCATCTGGTATCACCAAGCCACTCCCTATGAGCATTTTCAGCATTCCTACCACAAGAAGGGGGGATCTGTCCATGCAAAAGCTATCTCCCAGTTGAGCTCTGACTGAGGTAGCCTGTCAAATACCACTGTATCAGGTAGAGACACAGGATAAAGGAGGGTGGGATCCTCAGCAAGACCTCAAGATTACAGGAGAAGGCCTAAGGTTACATGGTAGCTTCCTGCCAATGAAAGTATCTGTTGAGGGGACCCCAGTCCACACCGGCTAGGACTTCAAGACTTCAACAAGCTTTTACCCATACCTGCCAGATTCCCGTCTTGGGCTCTGCTTCTCACAGGCGAGGAGAGACAGTGGCCTCTGAAGGCACTGATACCCATACCTGCCAGATTCCCGTCTTGGGCTCTGCTTCTCACAGGCGAGGAGAGACAGTGGCCTCTGAAGGCACTGATGAGCACCCACCAAAGGACAGAACACTCAACCTACATTCCAGACTCCACCCTGTCGAGTCAGCCCTGCTATGTTGAGTGGTTTTGTGTACAGTTTGCTCTAGTCTTGGCTGTCATTTCCACTCCTTCTAGAGGAGTATCTACTTGCCCTGAGGTGTTTGGCAATTTAAAGACCTGGGATTAGGGGAACTAAAATGACTGAAATTCAAGGAAGCCCACCCGGGTGGTGATCCAGGTGCCCTGCTTCCTGAGGAGGGAATGTTGGCTTTCTCTTATTTCTAATAAAATATGTGTCCAGGCCTCAGTTCTGTGTCTAGGCCCCTGTTGGATAATGAAACCATAGGCTCTGCCCACACTTGCTGTGGGAAGGCCATCTGTATCGGGTATTGCTTGTAAACAGCAAGGGGTGGTTAGGAGCTGGTGGCAGTCAGCAGGGACAGAAGCCAAACCTGACAGTGTAAGTGGTGTTTAGAAGGTCATGGTCCTGTGACCACTCATGAGAAGGGGTGACTGGCTCTGCCTGCCAAGGGTTTTTCCACACTCAAGCAGTCTGACTGTGCTGGGAGAGCTCTGGCGTCCCACTTAGGGAGTGAGAGGCAGAATTTTGAGGTGACCTGCCTGCTGTGGCTCATAGCCGATCCAGGTACCATCTGAGAGAATGTGAGCAGCTAGCCAGTCATTCTGTGGTAAGCATGACCAGACAACTTAGTGAGGCCTCTTGCACAGTCCCACATGTGTGTGTAGTAGGCACTTCTGGACTTAGCATCGTGTCTAGGTGTAGAATGACTGTGTTCCTCCCCACAGGTGGCTGTGGAAAGACTATACATCTAGGCATGGGAGTGTCTACCACTCTGTCATCGTGGTGGGGCTGAGGACTGGTGTGTTTCAAGAACCTGTGTGTGCATGTCTTGGAATCTAGCCATTAAGTCTGCCTGAGAACACTGCCTGAGAACAGTGAGATGAACCAAGCCCAGGGAGGTGGGATACACACACATCTGTTAAAGATGTTGTTTCCCTAATACCCAACACTGCCCCTAAGGTTCCCAGGGGTCTTCAGTGAAGGCAAAATCAAAGAGGCTGTAGGGATTCAGAATAGAGGAGGGGGCCATCCAAGAAGGAAGACGGGGTATGGGTCTGCTGGGGAGTCCAAACTTCAGGTCAAAGAATGAAGAAACATGGTAGGAACGTCCCAGCACCTCCGTGTCTCTCCCAGAGACCCAGGACTGCTTACACCAAGGGCTCTTCAGCCGGACCCCACCTTCCACTCTCTCTCACTTAGCACCATACCCACATCACTTAAAAAACCACCACCGGACCACCACCCAGCTCTCCCTGACTTTGTAATATGCACACGTATGAATTTCCTCTCCAAGCATTTCCTAAATTCCTGACTGATCAATGACCTATGGGGACCCTGAAACAGAGTAAACAGGTGTGCCAAGACCATTCAGCTGGGGCCAAAACTTTGTCTTATCAAGTCGCACTGCCACTACAGTCCCATATTCCGTGTCTTTGGGAAACCTTGGAGAAGGCAGGCGAAAGTCTTTGTCACACTGAGACCTCGATCTGGGCTAAAAAGAGGTGTGTGGAGTCCTCCTAACGGTGTTGGTTATTAGCCTTGGGAGAGTCAAAGACAGGTTGGTTTCCCAAGAACCTAAACACTAACCTAGAACAGAGCAATGGACACCTGAACACAGAGGGATCTTAGGGCTGGTCACTGATAGGTAGGAAACCGGAAGGTTAGGTAAACTTTGGGTTAAAAAAAGGTCTAGACTGGTAAGATCCATTCCGGAGGACCTCTTACAGTTGTTGCCCGTGAGATCTCAGGAATTGGGGGCTCCTCCCACCGCTCGCCGGTCCGGTTTCCCTATCCATACTACTAAGTGTGTGTGTGTGTGTGTGTGTGTGTGTGTGTGTGTGTGTGTGTGTG